ATGAAATTTTAACCAACTGAGATGTAATTAAAGATATAAGTCCAATTAATCAGAATTCACATGTTAGTCAAACCAAAAAATTATGCATTTTCCCAATGAAAAAAGAATGAGTACCTAGTAGATTGAAAAAATGCCTTCTTTAAAGCATAAGCACCTAAACTATTACATACAGTATTATAGGTACATACACACCAACTTTACATGTGGCCACAGTACACAGTTTATACAGCACTAACATTTTTGTCAACAATGGACTCACATCATTATATGAATATATACAGCCTAGGTTTGTAGTTGGTGTTGGTGAAAATTACACTCATGTGATGTTAGCATTAATAACAAAACTTGACTGGACATATTTCTCAAAAGAAGTCCCTGTTCACTTAAACAACACATTGACTATATAAACTGCATAGATTTCCTAGTAAAAGATAGAAAATTCATCCCAGGTTTATAAGAGAAAGATCAAACAAATTTTTAATTCATTCCCAATATTCTACTGTGTCATATTTTTATGTTGTTGGACATGCTATAGTATGGCCTTAGACATAAAAGTAATAGAACTTGGGTGTGCAGCAAAAGTATGTCTTTTAAGGAGTAGGTAGACTTGAAAGCCTGACCTGGCCAATTCCCCCAGTTCTTTGTCTCCCATTCTTATACTCTGAGTATGTACATTTCCATGAGAAACTGTGGAAAGTGGTGGAATTTATCCATTCATATGTGCCCATCTTTTGCACGTGACCTTTGTTTCTCAGTGCTGATTCAGCAGAAAATAGCCTAACTTACCCAATTTAGAGTCCTCATGTATTACCAATCCACAAAACTGGACTAGCCTTTGTTGATAGGAATCCTTACAGAAAATGTTTTTTACCCAGATTTGCTCAAGGTATTGGGATTAACACCAAACCCTCCAAGTTGAAAATAACCCTTAAATATTTCTGAATATTATCAGTTCAACTGGAGAATGACCCATAGCCAATTTACTTGACACAAGAAAATTTTTTGGAAACATTTTATGTTACTAACATTCTTTAGAAGAAAAGCATACATGACTCATTTTAAACTAGAATCCATTGATTCTTAAAGTCTAATTATTGAAATATTAATAGATTGAAATTTTTGCCACGAAAGTATGACATTGTCACATACTATTGTATTAGATGAGCAACCCAAAACTGATGTTACTGATAAAAATAATCTAAAGTAGTGCATAAAAATTCCAAGGACTAATAACAACATAAAAATCACAACTGAGAGGAAGATAAACTACTAAAAAGCATTTTTTCCTGGAGATTAATGAATAATCACACAACTAACAAGCATTGCTTGGTCAAAAAAGAATTCTGAGAATTAAAAGTAATATTAAACCAATAGACTATGTAAAGTTTCAGTAATCTTTGTTATTTGTTCATAAGCAATCCTTTTGTCTTCATTTGATTTAATAAATTTATTTGAGTCTTGCAGGTGCTAGGCACTATACTAGCGTTGCTGGGTTATAACGCGTGAGCAAATAAGTAGAAAATATAAGTTGAAGTGCAAGCAAAGCATATGCACTCTAACAGGGAGGAACACAGTCAATCAACAAAATCACAAAATAAAGCGGCTTGGCAATGGCTCATTGGCAGATCTCTGCCAAACAAAGAACAAGGTTTCCCAAAGTTTCCAAAAATCCTTAATTTATTGCCAAAAAAAATCACAAATAATAGGAATATGGAAACACTATGTAACACACATGTATATGCTTTATGGATGTAGTGTGCACTTATGTGTGTGTGATGTATGTGTGGTACAGTAATGACTTTTAGCATAATCACAAGATCAGAAGAGACCTTCTGTGGAAATGATCTTTAAAAGTAAGATACTAAAAGATGAGACAGGCAAGGTGAGGTGACTTATACCTATAATCTCAGCTACTCAAAAGACGGGGAGTTACAAAACCTGGGCAAAAGTTTAGCAAGACTCCATCTCAACAAACCAAACTAGGTTAGGTAGTATATGTCTATAATCCCAAGCCACTGGGAAGATGGAGACTGGGAGGATCTGTGGTTCCAGGTCAGGCTGGCAAAAACATGCCTACTCTATCTAAAAAATAGCTAATGAAAAACAAATACGGGGCATACAAACAAGTGTTAGAGTGCTTATCTACAAGTGTGAGGCCTTAAAATTCAAAACCTCAGCGCTGCCTAAAAAAAAAAAAAAAAATTGAAAGAAAGAAAAAAGAAGAAGATTCCAAGATGACGGCTAGAGGGAGGAAAGCAGAAAGCGAGCCTCCTATAGTGAAAATCTTGGAGGAGGACACTGGAGACACACTTTGCAGGGCATAATCACTGAGAAAAGAAATAAAACTGTTGACCCCTCCACACCTCCAGCTGGCGAGAGAATCTCCACTTCGCGTTAAACGGAAGAAACCAGCGAGCCCCCGGGCCACCAGTCGCCCGCCCCAGACGGCTTGGGAAGATTTGGACCAGGTGAGCTTCACGGTACTGCGGTACTCCCACAGACAAGCCTGGGCCAGAGCAGCATAGCCCCCTGGGACCAGACTGACCTCCACCGGGAAAACAAGAGAAACTGATTTAATAAGCAATAAGAACAATAAAGATACGCAGGAAAGAGGGTGGGGGCGCACTGATCGCCGAAGATTCGGGGGAAGGGAATCCTTCCCGGCCGACTGTAAACAAACAAGACAGGGCGGCCAGAGAGGCTCTGCAGGAGCTGGGCACATGCCAGCAACCGGAGACAGGAAAAGCTTGTGAGAGTGGCGAAAGAGGGAACTCCACAGGAGAGAGAAGTCCCACTTCCCAAGGAACTGTAAACAACATGGCAGGCTGGCAGGAGCAGCAGCACTGCCCTTTAATCAAAGGGCAGCGAAAGCTTGTGAAAGTGGCAGTGGGAGGAAAACTCCACAGGGAGACGGGGAAGAACCGACCTCCCACATTGGAACTGTAAATAAACACGCAGGCCTGACAGCGCAAGGTCCAAGTGTCACCCTGTGCCCAGTGTGCCTTGGAAAGGGGAAAAGCTTGATAGCAGGGCTCCCAACACCGAGGGATGAATAAACAGATAAATAAACTCAGGGACAATAAACAGACAACATTAAAGAGGAAACAACTCAGGATATGGAAAACCTCAGAAAAAGAATGAAACAGAAATGCAAAACAAAACGGAAGGCCAATCAGCAGAATAGAACAAACAGAAGACAGAATCTCAGAACTCAAAGATGAAATGTAATTAAAGGAAAAACGAAAACTATTAATTAAACAACTCAAGACCTGTGAAAAGAAAATGCAAGAACTCACAACTCCATCAAAAGACCAAACTGAGAATCATGGGCATGAAGGAGAAGAGGTGCAAGAAAGGGAATGCGTATATCACAAAATATAACAGAAAATTTCCCAATCTAGAGAAAGATATTCCCATACAGATGCAAGAGGCCTCCAGAACACCCAAAACAGACCAGACCAAATAGAACTACCCCACGACATATATCATTAAAACAACAAGTCAGAACTAAGAAAGAATATTGAAGCTGTAAGAGAAAAAACAAATAACAACAAAGGTAAACCCATCAAAATCACAGCAGACTTCTCAACAGAAACAT